TAATTTGATTCCTGGTCAGGGGCACATGCCTGGGTTTCAGGCTTGATCCCCCGTAGGGGGCGTGCAGAAGGCAGCCAAGTGATGTTGCTCTCTCACATCGATGTTTCTCTCTCCATCTCCCTTCCTCTCTCTCTAGAAATCAATAAACTTCTCTTAAAATATATATCCTATATAATAAAACCCTAATATGCAAATTGCCCAAACGGTGGGATGACCGGTCACTATGATGTGCACTGACCACCAGGGGGGCAGACGCTCAACACAGAAGCTGCCCCCTGGTGGTCAATGCACTCCCACTGGGGGGGGGGGCAGGGGGGGGGGGGCGCGCCACTCAGCCAAAGCCAGGCTCATGGCTGGCGAGCGCAGCAGTGGTGGAGGGAGCCTCTCCCACCTCCACTGGAGGCAGATGGTAAGGAGCGAGGGTCCCGGACTGCAAGAGCCCCGGACTGTGAGAGAGAGGGATGTCTGACTGCCGGCTTAGGCCCAATCCCCGGGGAAAGCGGGCCTAAGCCGGCAGGCGGCCATCTCCCAAGAGGTCCCAGACAGCGAGAGGGCACAGGCCTGGCTAAGGGACCCTCCCCCCACCCAGTGCACAATTTCCATGCACCAGGCCTCTAGTATATGACATAAAATGGGGGGGGGGGCAGGAGTGGGGGGGCGCGCCACTCAGCCAAAGCCAGGCTCATGGCTGGCGAGCGCAGCAGTGGTGGCGGGAGCCTCTCCCACCTCCACTGCAGGCAGATGGTAAGGAGCAAAGGTCCCGGACTGCAAGAGCCCCGGACTGTGAGAAAGAGGGATGTCTGACTGCCAGCTTAGGCCCAATCCCCGGGGAAAGCGGGCCTAAGCCGGCAGGCGGACATCTCCCAAGAGGTCCCAAACAGCGAGAGGGCACAGGCCTGGCTAAGGGACCCTCCCCCCACCCAGTGCACAATTTCCGTGCACCAGGCCTCTAGTATATGACATAAAATCCACACCCCAACTTTATTCATACAAGACTATCCTTGTCCCCACTCAAAATCCTTCTCTTTCTTTAAAACAAAAAAATGCCACTAACAAGTTTTATCATTAGTTTGCCAACCAATATCTGAAAACTGGGAGAGGAGTGAACATAGCCCCAGGGAGGCCTGTCCAGTTTATGGGAAAGAAGAAGGTTAAATAGACAGAAATGGTCAAGATTGTAGTTTCAAGAGTCCTCACATCCCAGAGGGCCTGTGTATTACCACAGAGGACTGTACATTAACATTCATAATATTGATCCTGGAAACATCAAAGAAAAGTTCAGTTATAGTCTATTTAACGATTAAGTGTTTTAGAAAAACTTCTAATCATAATGGTTAAAATGAAATGTTTTATACTTTAAAAGTAAGCTTCATGGAAAAATACACTCAGGTGCTCCATTCCCTGTAAATGCTAGAATATCAATGTGTGAGAAATACAATCAATGGCAATGCACTTTATTCATTTCTGTCTCATGGTGCCACATCAGCTACCTAATAAGTCCAGTTCCACTAAAAGACTTCAACCTTTCTATTCTTTTCCCCCCCACCATTTGTTCTTAATAGTATTGCTATACAATCTTCTGCTTTTTTATTTTTATTAATTTTAGGAAGGGAGAGGAGAGGGAAAGGGAGACTGGTATGGCTAGTTATTTCTGCTAAAGCCACTAAGAATTACAGACCATGAAAGTTACGGCTTGGAAAGCCAGTGTCTACTGGGGGAGGGGCTCATCTCCACCTGCTTTTTAACCAGGTAAATGCCCATAGATCAGTTAAAATTGAATAGATGTAGCTGAGTCATGGGTGTAACTAATTTTAAAAGCATAGTTATTATTTAGCAGCCATATAACCAAGAAATGTGACTGGAATAGTAAGAAACTAATGTTCAGCCCTGGCCAGGTGGCTTAGTTAGTTGAAGCACTGTCCCTTATACCAAAAGTTGGGGGTTCCATTCCTGGTCAGGGCACATACCTGGGTTGTGGGTTTGATCCCTGGTCAGGGTGCATGCAGGAGACAACCGATTGATGTTTCTCTCTCACATAGAGCTTTCTTTCTCTCTCCCATCCTCCCTCCCTCCCTCCCCCTTCCTCTCTCTCTAAAAATCAATGGAAAAATATCCTCAGGTGAGGATTAAAAAAAAGAAAAGAAATGGAAACCCATGCAACTACCACAATGAACATAGAAGACAGTGTTAAAAGGGACATTAAAAAAAAAATTTAACATTCAGGCCCTGGCCGGGTAGCTCAGTTGGTTAGAGCATCATCCCGATACACCAAGGTTGTAGGTTCAATCCCTGGTCAGGGCACATACAAGAATCAACCAAGGAATGAATAAATAAGCAGAATAACAGATCAGTGTTTTAGTATCAACATTTCATTTTCCAGTACACCAGATGTTCAAGGTCACTCTGAGCGTAGGAATCCTAATCAGAGTGTTCAAGGCTAACTTACTATACACAGGTGCAAAAGCAAGGATGCAACAGTCTATACACTGCACAGGAGTACCCTTCTATATAACCCAAAAGACTGATGTCTCTATTTTGGCAAGAAGTCGCTTTTGTCTAAGTTAGTCTAAAGTATGTTACTGACCAGCCAGTATGGGACTGTGTTGTGGGGAAGATGTATTACTGACCAGCCGGTGTTGGCTGTTTTTGCTAGGATGGCTCCTGTGTTTGCTACTGTATTAGCAAGGCCTGCTTTACTAGACTGCTTTGTCTAATGGCTCCTTAGTAGCAATGGTTACTTGGGCTGCAATAAAGACTCTCTTATAGGCCTACAACTCCTTATATCTTCTCCATCCAATACACAGCAACCAAGAAATGTGACTGGAATAGAGACTCAGACCCTACAGCTGGTGTAGTAGAGCAGGATCAGGAGTAAGTACACCCACAATTACTGCACTGAGAAGGGCCAAGGAGAAACTCACTCCCCAACACCAGATAACCCAGGTTTTGATGTCCCTACTCCCCAGAATGAATGTACATTTCACTGGGAAGGAATTTAATTACTTGTTGGTTGTAATACTGTTAGTTCCCAACTACCAGACAACTGAAGGTTCACAGGGGAAGGACATTATCTGTAATCAGCCACCTGGTCCTGAAAGTGTAGTAAGTCAGGTGTGTGGACCTCAGTGATTGCAGCTGGGTTCTCCAAATACTGGCCCAAGTCTGGCACTGACTATTGTGATCCCTTCCCACAAGTTTACATCTAACAAACGAGAAAGAACATAATTTTGTAGCCTCATTCACCCTCATTCCCACATACTCCTAGCTTCTTGTCAAACCAAATTATTCAGAGGCACTTCCTTTCCCTGCACCTGATCTTTTCAAGACTTGGCCCCTATGTCCTCTATTCTGTAAAACTTAGTCAAACAGTCAACCATGGCCACACATGCCTCCATTGTGTACACTGCCTGGAAGCCACGTGCTCCCACTAACCTATGACCTTGTCAGCAGGCTAACATCTTTGACATCTCAGAAGGCATTCAAAATATAGTTGTTGATAAACTAGTTAATGAGCAAAAATGAAAAACAAACAGCCCACAAGATGAGACTCTATTCCACACCTCAGAGATATTCTAAGGGTGAGAAGCACTGGGATAATGGTGACATGAGGTCAGTCCTAGATGTAAAACCGAATGCATGCTAAAATTTGGCAACTTTCTCAGGAAAAGAGGAAAAAATACAGGAGAATTCTGAATTTTCTGTATAGGCAAATTCTCTTATAACCATATTCTTTTCCCCCATTATTTAAGAGATTTTATTGGCTAAATTCACTCATCAAACAACTATACCTTCACATTTACCCACACAGGTGACAATGTCAGGGCATCTACAATACAGAAGTTCTTCCAAGAACAAAATCTGTATTGTAGATTCAAGCAAAAGAATGCTTGAACCACTGCAATAGTAGTTGCAGGAGAGGACACAGATTATTAAGAGAAAGAGATTAAAAAACAACAAAATTTGGCTGTGCTGAAAACTGACATATCTTCAAAATGGAGGTGACACTACATGATACAAGGAATAAATACAAACACAGGTGGAACATCTTAAAACATGAACAATAAAGAGGGAAAAAAATCTTACACTCCAGAAAAAGGAGGAGGGGAGGAGACAGGGAAAAACACACACAAGTAACTACTAAAACAACAGGAATCAAATTGATATGACTGCTCATCTGTAACAATGGTGCTAGAAGACAATAGAGCAGTATCATCACTGTGAAGGAAAATTATTTTGACTTGGAATGCAATACACAAACTGATATCCAAGTATGAGGACAAAATAAAAATCCTTTTAGGCAAGGTGGGGCTTAGAAAACTTACCACCTACAGACTTTATTCTGCAAAACTAACACAAGGATATACTCTGATTAAACAGGAAATACATCTGAAAAAAGGAAAACGTTGGATACAAGCAATAGTGATAAAACTTACAGTTGGCTCATATGCTAGTGCATGTTATTTTTAAAAGTCATGGTTAAATAGACTACACCAAAATTTAAAACTCGGGTAACAGAAGAAGTTGTGAAAGATATGAAAAGGAGGTTCATAGAAGATACACAAATGAAGACATTCTTGCTCACTAGTATCCATGCAAGTGTAAATTAGATAAGAAATAACCCATGGATTTGGAAAGATGTAATGTCTGGTGTTGGAGAAGATACCTTGTCATAGGTAGGCTCGTTTCCTGCTAATGGGAATACAAAATGATTACCAGTAAGCCTTTATGGACAACAATTTGGCAATATCGGCCAACATTTCAAATTTGCACAGGCTCTGAATCATCAATTCTAAAACTCTAATTCTGTAATTCTAAAGAAATACCATACATGTGCACAAAGCTTTAAATAGTGCCAATTCTACACAGCAGTGTAATAACAACAGAAACACAGGGAGGGAAAAATCCTGGAAATAATGTTAATGACGTCCATTAATAAGATAATAGTAAGTAAACGATAATTCGTCCTTAATATTGGAAGGTCGGAGACCGTGGATACTTACAAAAATATGTGTAAGCCATGCTGGGAGCTTTAAAACAAAAATTCTGTAGCCCTTGCCAGGGTGGCTTGGTTGGGCGTCCTCCCATGCACCCAAAGGTTGCTGGCTCGATCCCCAGTGCGGGGCGTGCAGGAGGCAGCCAATGAATGCTTCTCTCCCATTGATATTTCTCTCTCTCTCCCCCTCCCTTCCACTCTCTCTAAAATCAACCAAAACATTTATTTTTTTAAAAATTCTGTAGCACAATGTATATGTGGTTTAGATCTTTTTACGTAAAAAATGATTAGACACGTCTAATTATATGTGTGCAGTGGTGCAGGGCCTGGAAGGAAAGCCAACACGTTCACCGTGGTTACGTCCGAGCGAGGAGCAGAGACGCTGGTCGTCCTTTATTTCAGCACCTCCAGGCCCAGGCCCTCGGGAAAGGCGGCCAACAACTCCAGCCCCGCGGCTGCGCGAGGGCCCGGGTGCCAGGTCTCGGTTCGGTTCGCCGCCGTGTGCCGTGAAGGGCGGAGTGGCACTCAGGTATCGACTGGACGAGGGAGCAAGTGGTTAACGCATTCCCCGTGCATAAAAGTCGGACGCGGGAGGAAGAAAAGCGCAACGAAGGGACTTAAGTGACCGCGCCGGGGAAGTCAGTTCCCAACATCCACTCGCCCTCGGATTTCACTCCGGAAACTGCCTTCGGCTCCTGAACCAGGAACCCAAGGGCCCCCCGACTAGCCCGGCACAAGGAGAAGCCCCGGCTGTAGCCACACAGGCCGGGCTCAAAG